CCCAACCCTCTAAAAAAAAAGGAGAAGAGGCGGAGGTTTTTTTTATTAACATAATAAAGCCTTAAGACCATTTGGTGATTCAATTTTTTTCTTTTTCGCGATGCTTGTATATAATCTAGTATAACAATGTAATATAGAATATAATAATATATAAATGCAATTGATATTAATTACTTTAGGATATATATATTTAACCCCCTTCATTTTTATTGTCAATAAGAACATTATTCCTAATTAATTCCATAATTAAAAATAGTTCTTCAATGTATCTTCAAAGTTCTAAATATCAGGTTCTCTCAATGATTGGATAAGGTTCAGCACATGTAGTGTTTAAAGCTGAGCACAATATAACCTAAAAGCTATTCGCGATTAAAATGGAAAAATATCCTAATTCAGGTCAAATCGATGGTGAAATTAAAGCCCTAAAAGAGTTAGACTAAATTGGAGGTATCCCAAATTTAATACACCACGGAATGACCTCAGAGAATAAGTATTAACTTTAAAATAAATTTAGGTGCTTTCTTATTTTGCCTCTACTAAACTGTAGCTTGCGTGAATTAGTGAAATCTTAATAGTTATCTTTATCTTAAACATTGGCTATAGGATTGAGTCTCATTGAAACTTTGGAAAAAGTTCATTAAAAAAACATTTTGCATTTGGATATTAAACTAGAAAATATTATGGTATCATAGAAATTATAAAAAAATTCAAAAGAGTAACTTCTTTAGCCTGGATTTATTCAACTTATAGATTTTGGGTTGTCTCAAACTTTAGGAAATTCAAAATTCTTAAAAAATGTATTTATTGGTTCATTGAACTTCGCCAGCAGAGCATCCCACAAAGGAGAGTCATTAGGGTATAAAGATGACTTAGAAAGTCTATTTTATGTGTTAGTCTATTTGAGAAATTGTATTTATCATTATTAACTCTAGGTAAATTGCCGTGGTCTCAAAAGCCTTCTATGGGATGTAAAAATATGGATATCAAATTCATAGGAGAAATGAAGGCATCCATATTTAATACTATGGTATTATGCCAAAAATTTCCTTTGGAATTCTCCAAATTTATGCAATACATTGATGAACTCAAACATTATTAAATGCCAGATTATACTTACATTAAGGAATTGTTTATAAAAATGTTGCAAAATACATCTTTATCACCAATAATGGACTAATTTTTGAATTACTCTCCTGTTCAATCGATTAATCAACTTGGGAGTTCGGAGAAGATTCTGATTCGAGTTGAATAAAATCTTCCAAACAACAATTCAATAGAAACTTAAATTTAAGATGATATAATAGATGTCGAAGCTAAAGTCGTGCATTTATCTGACTTGATTGGAAAATACACAACCATTTAAATCAAGTCTATTTAGACATTAAATATTGAATATGATTATAATTCTTCTAATTTATGTATAACAAAATGACTCACATAGATTATAGATTATTAATTGATTAACAATTTATTGAATTATTATTCAATTTATTAATATGAATTAAATTGTAATTCACTACAATTAAATATAATATTGTCTTTTATAAATTTTCTTAATTAAAATTTATATGTGATTTTGACCTTTATGAAAATTATCTCACGAAAATTTGTAATAGACTATGAAATCATTGTATTCTATCATTTATTTTTTAGAGTGGCATTATGGTTTTATATTTTCACCTATGAATTTGCAATTTCATAGATTTCAACCAAATAACATTTATTTTGATTACTATCTCTAAATCTTAATAAAGATGAATTATTATGAAAAATATGACCAAAACAAAGCTTAATACTGAGTTTCAAAATATTCATTCTATGATAAATAGCATTTTTTGAAAATGCACCTCACAAATTTTGAACTGTCATAAGGTTCATATATTTTTAAATTAATGCTATTCTATAAATTTTTCTATAATTAATTAAAAGTAATATGAGAAATTAAATTAAATAATTGAATTAATGGGTTAAATTTCTTGCTTTTAAGGAAATGAGTTAACGGAGTTCAATGTAATGTTACTAGGTCCATCAGGATCAGGGAAGACTAGGATAGTGACAGAAAAGACATTAGGACCTACAATTAGTAATGAAATATTTAATTCAAAGAATTAGAAAAGCACTTAGTAAAAGTTAATGATACGCACGGGTTGAATTTTTATGACACACCTGGAATATTTAGTTTATTCAAATAATGTCTAAATTACGATATTATATAAAGTGTTGATATAATTGTATGCTTCCCTAATTCTGAATAATACAAGGAGTATATTAAGGAGATTTTGTAGAATAATACCAAGTTGTTCAAATAGATTCCATTTTATGATATTCCAGGTGATTTAGAAGCAAAGGAGATAAGAAATAATATATATTTATTTATTTTGTCATAAAGTAAAAGAAAGTCAAAAAAGCCTAGTTATAATTAAGAAATTGTATGATTTCATTAAATTTATTGTTTATGTTTTTTTATTTAAATGATAATCATTCATTTATATATTATGGAAAGATAAAAATCAGATTCGTAAACTCAACATGTGTATGAGATCAGTTTGAGTAATTTATAAATGTATTAAATATCCAACAATGTTATTTTTGTTAAATATTAGATTTTCAACAAATGTCAATTAATTTAAATTGTGATAGGTATCTATGCATCCTATCTGAATTTGAATTATCAAATTATTATTATTTATTAAAACCATATTTATTGAATTTCCTTTCAAGCTTGTCGTAACTTGTTTTCTTTTTCATATATATTTTGTACTAGATTATGAAACTAGTGTATTTAATAATTATCCTTTAATTTTAATCTTTAATTCGAAAGATTTCTTAATATATAATATTAAAATCTTCTTTTCTGGGTTGTTTGCTTAATTTTTTCTTTACTGATGTTATCTCAATACACACATCTTCTAATATCAGGCAAGCAAAGCCTAAGAATTTAAATATCTACTTGCGTGATAGTTCAATTAAGAAAAATACTACTTATGTCATTATAGAAGGAGAATATAACTATAATTTATGAGTTAGATCTTAAAAATATAGGTAGGTGACTCCAATTCAAAAACTTCAATTAACTTTCAAGTTTTAAAGTTGTAATTATTCATTGGTTATTGGATAGATTTCCAATTTAGGAAGGTAATCTAAAATATTTTTATATAATTTTACTTAAGGCATATGAGTTTGGATGGCTCAGAAATTTTAAGAGGCACATATTAAACTAATCCCATATATTTATTATATATTAATTATAAATTTATGAGTGAAGATGAATCAACTAATGGGAAATTCGATTATTTAAAAGCCAAATATGTTTTTAGATTTCCTTTTACAGTTACTGCATTAAAATGGGGATTTGGTTTGGGTACATTTTTTGGAATTCATTAATACATAAAATCAAGGGATGGAATGGCAAGTATGAGATGGTTTATCTGGGGCAATGTTTTAACTACTTTACCTATTTGGGGATTTTTTATGATGAAATATTCGTTCTATAGCAGTGCATTAAGAAAGTTTGAATCTGAACAATCAAGATAATATGAAATTTAAGGATTAACGAGAGTTTACTTGGCTAATAAGATGGGGATTGACCCAGAATGCAGTGATGAGGATCTTTTGAAGTAAGGCTTATTTTGATGTTTTAGAGAATATCAGAAAAAGAGCGAAAAGATAAAGGAGAAATTTAATTTATTAGATGAGTTGTTGGTGGGGGTTGACTTTTCTTAATTTGATTTTCCTAAGTGAATTATTTAATTTTTATATTGATTTGGAACCACTATAAACAATTTACCATCACATAATTAATTGAATAATTTTATTAAAATAATTGCATATGGTTTTATTATCCTTAACGTATTTTTTACTATTTAAAAAGCATTCATGTAAAAAT